TTTTTCCATGATATAGTTATTATTTCTGAGGAATTTTATAACTGTGAACTCAGCTGTCATGAAAGCTGGAAAACATAAAGCAAATTTCCAGATCCTCTTACATGTATTGGGAGGTGCTGACAAGATTGGTTTTGCCCATGCCTTAGAGGAAAAAGAACTGATGAAGAAACAACCTGCATTCTCTAGGTTGTTTCATGTCACAGAAATCCATTTTATAGTGTGAGAAAGCAAAATAGCTTATTGCTGAGTTAAGAATATGCTTTCAAGACCAATTATTTACATTTTTTTGGCAGAAGAAATAAAAAGTGACTCTGTTTGCCATTTTGGAAAATCAATTGGTTTTAAAATAGAAACCTGAGATGTCAGTTTTTTCTTAAAGTTCCTATATGATCCCATTCACTTAAAAAATATATGCCACTGTTATAATTTCTAGTTTCCAGAAATCCTGCTCAGTTTCTATTAAAATAATTTTTAAAGATATTATTTTTTTTATTTTTTTTTTTTTGCTTTTTTTTTTCCCCTTTATTTTATTTTATTTTTTTTTAAAGTTGTAGATTTACAATTTTTTGTGCTTTGGTTTCAATTATACAATGATCAGATACCCATCCCTCCACCAGTGCCCATTTTCCACCACCATGGATAATATCCCTCCCACCCCCATCCCCCCATCCCCCCGTCTCTGTGGCAGGGCAATCCCCTGTGTTCTCTCTCTCCTTTTGGGTGTTGTGGTCTGCAAAAGAGGCATTATTTTTAGTTAATACTATAGCTGATAGCAAGTTTCCCTTCCCACATAAATAAATGGCCACTATTCGTATGGGATAACCAATGTGCTTCTTAGGGGACTGGGAAATAGGTTCTATTTCCGTATTGTGTTGATATGGATTATAATATTTATTAAAATAATTTTCCATGGTACAGTTAATAGTAATTGCCTTCTTAAATTTACTGTTAAAAGCTATTCATGTGGAGTTTGAATGGAAAACATTTAGCAAAATACAGGTCGACATTCAGTTTGGCGAATTTAATATCATTCTTAAAATAAATAGAGGATGTTTTACTTGGTTGCATTTCAGCAGAAGGCTACTAGGAGCAGGGCCCTAATTGTCAGTCTCGTGCCAGTGGGGAAAGAGTAGGTCATGGAAGTGACCACTCCTGGTGCCAGCAAGGATCATAGTGTCAGCCATCCATCCAGACGCAGTTCCAAAGGTTCCATAAAGAAGCCAGAAATGCAGTGCCATGGCATGGGTCACAAGAGAAAAAGTTATCTAGAAGAAGGAAGACTTTACAATATTTTGGAAAATTCTATTTGCTCTTCTACTTGAGCACTTTGATAATATAATGAGTAATAACATAACATTAATAATATAACGAGTAACTAGAATGTTGCCTTTGAGGAAAAAGCATTAGTCTTTAAGTGCTGATCATATTCTGCAGCTTATTTACCACTATTCTTGAGAAATCATGCTCTCCTAAGAACGTGGAATCAGATCAGAGGTACTTTGCATCAGAACAGGTAATAGTCTGTGTGCTCAATCTAAATAAAAGAAAAATGGCAACTGTATAATTCTCTTATTGGAAATCTGCAGCCCACAAAAGCTTTATTATCAGTACTAGTATGGAAAATGTCAAGGATTGCCCTTTGCTCGGTGTTTATTATAATTCAGTTGATTAATCATCTGTCCAGTCATACAGTTTTAGAAAGATTCCAAGTTACTTTGATTGTTCTAATCATGATTCTTTTATCTATCCTTGTTGAATTTATTTAATTAGGAACAGTTATTTTTGTAAGCATGCCTTCATTTAAAATTGAAAAGCACTAAAGACGTCTATCAAAACCATATATAGCCTTTACTTGTAGACTTCTATACAACAAGGCACATAAATAGGCAACAGTTTGCTTTGTAAGGTAATACCTATTTAGAGATGAAATATATGAATGATATTGTCTCCTTGAGGGTATTCAGACATTTTATTTCAGTTAGCTATTTCAAGTGTTTTCTTTTTAGGATTTTTTATTTTAGTAGAGAAAAAGTATATTGGAAAAAAATGATTATTTGCATGTTCATGTCTTGAAATTTCTGTAGAAAATATTTTATTTTACAATTTTTTTTTACAATTACCAGTCTTTACTACTGACAAATTTTCATCAGATTTTCCTAATTTTTGTTGTAGTGTGCAGACTTCATTTAAAGAACAACTTGGTTCTTAAAGTATATGGTTAAGTTACATAATTATGGTTGGTGAAAATTTAGAAATAGGACGTTAACAGCACAAGCTGGTTCTTTTTAGTATTGGCTTACAGTTTGGCTTTTTATATTGAATAACTTATTTTTGGTGTAAGTTAAATGTAATAGTGCTTATCACATATTTGATACCCAGAAGTGGTAACCAGACAAAATTTATGGATAAACATGTGATCGTTTTTAATCCATCTCATTTGCTTTAGGAAAAGGAAATCATTTAAAGTGGCATAAATGTACATGGAAATTACTTTTACCTAGTGACTAAGTTCTTTGGTACATAATAACGGCATTTGACCTGTAGCATGTTAATTTTTGGTCATGTTATGCTTATCATGTTTTTTGTAATTTTTTTAATCACATGCATGATTTCCATAGTGATATCTTGCTAGATTACAGAAATAAAAATGAAATTTAAATATAAAATTGAAATATGACAAATTTAGTTATATTGATACATGACAAATTTAATTATAAAATAGACAATTTAAAATACTTAATCTGAAATTCTTACTGTTTTAACTTCATGCAGTTTGTGACTTCTGAATTTGCCAGAATAATTTTTTCGTAGATCAAGAAAATAATTTTTTACCCTAAACTCTCAAATTTTAAACCATGAGAAGCATTGAGTACAGTAATTTAATGGGACCTTTCAAACAGAGTGAGTTCTGTCTAACCGTCACCTCAAGTTTTCTATTTTATGGGGCTTAGGAATAAATGTAAAAGCAAAAGCAGTCACTGTGTGGGTATTTGATATCAAAATTGAATTAACCTAACATTGCGTTTTATCTCAAGGAACTAGAAACCTCCATTACGTGCTGTATTTTATTTTCTGCATGTATACTTTAGTCTATTGAATAACTGATACTGTCGGCCTGAGAAAGTGCTGTAGGTGGTAATGTAATTCTATTTTTCCTGCATATATGAACAGATCCAATAGCAATCAACTGATTTTTGACCTGGCTTTCCAAATATGGCAGATGACTAACCCATGATTCCTTGCTGGTACTATAGAAAATGAAATCCTAGGTGAGTTTGCAGTTTAAACTGTCTCTTAGGTTTGACAAAGTGTTCTTTTCTGAGGAATTTAGATTGGCATCCTTTCAAGGGGGGAGGGAGGCAGGGGAAGTGGCAGAAGTTCACATTGAATTTTGGTCATTAGATACTTTTTGTTTTGTTTGCATCAGAACGGTGCTTTCATTACGAAAAAACAAATAAAGGAAGGGCTGTGTCCCTCTGTTTTATGAATTGATGAACTGAAAATGTATTATAAAATCACTTGAGTTACTGGGATTTAAAAATATTTTTTCATACAAAGGTGAGACTTTTGAATAAAAAATGCTTTTTGTTATTAACAAAATAATCAGATATATAAAGTGATATTGGTAAGCACAAAATAGTTTTAAGGAAAATCTAGTGTGTATAAAAATTGTATTTTAGAATATAAAATTGCTGGTGGTGAATTAGTATCAAAAATAAACATTTGTATTTTCATTATGGTTTATTGTTGGAAAACTGAAATGTTTTAATCACAGACTGTGATGCCTTCTTTAAATATTTAAAAGCAATATACTAGATAAGTCATTCATTCATTAAGTCATTTGTTTGCCTAAAACATGACTGTGAGTATCTTAAAAAAAAGAAAAGAAGCTGTGATTTAATCATGGAGAATAACTCGACTGTCTAGGTGAATGTTAAAGTTTATGTATTCTCAGTTTACTCAGAATTCCTTTAAAAGAAATTTTTTTCAAAAAAAAGTTTTGAAGATTTCTAGATAAACTAAACCTTCCCCTTAAATCACTACAAAATATTAACTCTGAAGTGTTATCTAATTCAGATCTCCCCAAATTATTCCAGAATCACTCAGGATTTCATTGCTAAACTGATAATGGCTTACACACTTGCTTTTGACTCCCTCTACTAATTCACTTAGTATGGAAATAGCACTTTTAATTTTTCATTTTCTCCAGATCTGATAGTTGGGACATTTGGAGAAAAGCTTTTGGAAAGCATTGGTTCACCAAGTTTCAGGGCCTGGAGAGAGAAAAAAAAAAAAGTTTTGGAAAAGTATAAAAGATAACGTGAAACTACTCCCCAAAGCCCGTAATTGGTAGCTGCTGTAGCCAGAGATGTGTGTTGACAGTCTTGGAGAAGTTATTCTCACACAGCTGTTTATTCAGATAGCATGGGGCGCGTTCATTTACATAATAAATTTTTTTTTTGAAAGCAGCAAGGTTGAGTCAGACCCAGCAGTGCTCCCTTCAATTGTTGCATTTAAACCAATAAGGTTAGGACAAGAGAATAGCTGTGGTTTGCGTTGCAAAAACAAAAAAAAAAAAGCCCCGAGGCTCCGCGGGCAGCCCTACAAGGCTGCGCAAACAAATCGAGGGATGCGATTCTGCCGTTTCTTTGTCTCGGGTTCTCAGATGCTATCTGCTGCTGCCGTTCCGTGGGGAAACGCGCGCTGGGCTCAGAGCGCTCACTAAGCAGAACGGTGGGAGCTGATGGCTCCGAGTTTGGGGCGAGGTAGAAACTCTCCGGTGCCACTTCCGACTTTAAGCCTTCCTGTTGCCGTCCACTGTGGCGGTTTTCTTCCCGGGGAAAGCGTTTGCGCTCAGTCGCTCGGTAGCCCGAGCCTGCAGCCGCGGCTGCACCGCTGCCCCCGCCGCCGCCGGGCTCTCCCCTGCAGAGGCGCTCCGCGTCCAGAAGCGCCGGGCTCCGCTGGGAGCTCCTAAAAGCCCTCGCGCGTCCTCCTCCAGGAGCAAAACTATGTCAGGAATGGAGCTTTGCTAAAAGCAGAAAATTCGAAGGAGCGCATTAAACTGGTGGATGCAGCAGATGTAAGCGCTGTAAGTACAAGCTGACTGTTTGAAAAATTGTGCTGACTGACAACAGCTGTCCTCGTGGGCACAGCCCAAGATAACAGGAGCTCTTTTTCCGTCTTGTTTTGATTTGTTTTAAAATAAAAGCAGTAGGGCAGGGGGACAGTGATGACACTTCGTATCTGGTGCTTGATTAGCCAGAGGCTTCCATCAGAAAAGTATAATTCGTAACCCCCAAATTATCTGAACGATTAGAGTCATTAAGAGATCATTACAAATTAATTGTTCACAATTACTTTTGTTGGGATCTGCTTAAATATAATACCCGTTTCTGTTCTCGTAGGGATATTATCTTCATATCTCTTTCCTGAATTGCTCCACAAATCTCAAATATTGTATGAGATTAAAAGAAGCTGTATACATGTATTATATATTATACATGTGTGTATGTGTATGCATGTATTTCCATCGCAACATGCAAAACTTTTCCTACCTACTTTGGTATGAGAAAACAAGAAAGGAATGAACATTTTGAAAGAAAACATATAACAAAATTAAATTAATACTTTTTTTTAAGGATAAAGATTCTTTGACTTCAATAAACAAATTTCCCAAACATATTCAACAGGCTTATCTTCGGAAGGTAAAATAATAAATGAATGCCAAGTTAATATATTTTTTACTTTTGGACACTATGTGACTTGAATGGATTTGAGATTAATAAAATAAAATTCTTGAATTTTTGAATTACCATTTAGAAAAAAATTTCATTCAAAATCAGCACATGAATTGCCAGTGACTCATGGGCTTATATTTCTTGGGAGGAGTTTTTGAATACATTTAAACAGCATTGCAAGAATTCAGTAAATTCAGAGCTGTCATTGAATTTAGACGAGTTGTGTGGTTAATTTCTTAAAAATGGCAAGGGGTCCAAAAAGTGATTAGTTAGGCACATAGTGTCCTTTCCCAGGTTTGGTATTTTTTTTTCTTTAATGTGTTTTGCAGAGTCGGTTTTATCTTGGACATGTATGTCTTTTCACCTCTGATTGGGGTTTGAGGGTATGCATACATGAACAGTCATGCTTTTTTGCATTATCAAATATTTGATGTTTGCCTTTTTCTTTGCTTGAGTTCTCCTGAGGCCCAAGTGTTCAGGAAGGGAGCAAGCAGCCATGGATTTTCAGCCCTGAAATGCTTGGCGGTAATAGACAGAGAAGCCTAATTGAGCCACTGTTAAGTTTTAGAATTGCCAAAGGGAAGTCAACTGCTGCCTGACTTTGGGAGACATGATAAATGATTTTATCAACAGAAGATTTCTATTTGAACGTGAACATTTATTTTATGCGAATAGATTGGAAAGGAGAAAAAAAAACTTGCAGTGAGAATAGAACCACTCTTTCCATCTAGCATATGAAAAGTATTTCAACATTTTAAGTAAAGGCTATTCTTGAAAATTCTTTCAAGTGATAGAATCAATTGTATATAAATACTGAATTTTGTTTTCACTGGGATTCTGTTTTCCCATTTTATTTAAGCATAGTGTTTCAAAAGGTCATGCCAGTGTATTGCATTGAATAGCAGAAATAGATGTAAAGTATTTGTTTCATGGAGGCTTTGATAAGGAGGAGAGTGTGTTAATGTTTAGAAGACATCTTGTTCTTCCTAGAAGTGTATTTCTAATTTAGATTTTTATGACAGAATTGTCACCCTTGTTAGAAATACTGATGAGAATTTCAGCAAGAATATATTCTGCTTAAAAAGGAGATTTATGCCTGGGGCACATTTTCCCCCTATAAAATGCATTCTGATTAGAAAATTGCCATTGTCTTTCAAATTTGGGAGGACCCAGGTTGATCTGTGGTTAGGCAAAACTAGCTTGCCTGCCAACTCTATTTATTTAGATAAGTTCAATACTTTCACTTTGAAATTTTCTTTTTAGTTTGAAAAAAAAGTTTTAAATTATAGTCATTTTATAAAAATTGCTTCTTGCAAGCAAAAAAGCCTATGGAAAACCCATAATTTAGACAAGTACCTACATTTTATTTGCCCTGTGCTGCTGAGATTTAGAATCCCTTTCCATTTACAGTTTACTTTTCACAGAACATTATTAACTTTTTGGCTTCATACATGATCTTCTGTCAGATGCTTTTGATTTGTAATTTAGCAAAGTATAATAAACAGTGCAAAAGTCATGAATTCTGCTCTGCACCCTGAGCTCTGTGGTAGGGAAAATGTGATAAAATGTGTACCTTAAGTCTTGTTTGATGATCTCTCAAAGCAAGTTTGCCTTCTGGAAATAATTTCTGGGGTTGAAGAGCATGGTATTAACAGATTTAATGTGGCTATTCAATGGATTGGCGAAGTACTATGTGAGGTTTAACAAAATGAGAGAGACAAATTGAACATCAACAAAAGTTACATCTGTGAAGAATTATAAATTTAATTAGAAAAAAGGCAAACTTAAAAGACCTCATTAACTAATCAGAAGTCAAAGTTACTAGTTTGGGATTCCTGAATTTAAATTCTAAGGAGTTTTGCTATCTTTTTTCTCTTTGTATTTTCACAACTCAACTATGCTACTCTGGTTGTTCTATATCAAAGTTTTAAGAAACGTTAAGGTAAAATGACTCCATTGTAATCTAAGATGACCATTTACAATGTTATGGGAAATATTTCTGCACAAATAGGAACATTTGAATTAAAAAACACTAAATTGGGAGAAAATGAGAAACATTAAGTTTATAGATGGGAAGCAAAAAATGTGAGCTTGCTTGAATGCCTGACAACATTTTTCTGCAAACTATGATGTAATTTTTACTCTTTTCAGTGGAAATGTACCTATTTATTTTTAAAACACAGTATGTTTAGACTTTTAAATTTCAGAAACTTCTGGAGATATTGTGAAACATAAGAGAAAGTCAACACCAATCAGAAATAGGTGTTCTTTGGAGATAAGTCATTATAAGAGTATGTTTCCTTACTGCACTGTAATCTTGTACTACACATAAAAAACTAAAAGCATGTGAAGTGTAGCATTTTGTAAACTGTAACTAATTTTGCTCACATCTGTGTCTAATTGTTGTCTGCATTCGCATTCTTGAGAGTAGATTTATTTTTCCTGGACCACGATGTGGATTCAGCTGACCAGCCTAAGTGAGGATTAGTTGTTTTAAAGTTATTTTGATTAAAGAGTCATTTTTAAATACAGTAACACACAACACATGGTTTAAATAATCCTTGAGACACAAAAGAATATATCTGCAGTATACTTAATGAAACGAAGATCTTGGATATGGACTCTGAAAAATTGTAGTGTACAGTAAAGATTCAGCTGAACAAGCAGGAGAGAAATAGGTTATTGTGCAAATGCATTTTTTCCAGTGAGATAATATGTTACACTAATTTTTATTTTGAAGTTCCTTTTTTTGGCTAACAGTTTGACTTAAAAATCTCATATGTAAATACAGTATACTTTGAAAGTATATAATGAGTCTAAAATTATTTTTTCTAAGTTATACTATTTATCTAATGTTAAGACGTGAATATGTTTTACCTAGTAACAGAAACTATGTTTTACACACTCCTTCAAGTAATCAAGCCAAGAGAGTTCTTTAAAGTGAGTTTGTGCTCACCTATAATTTATTCCAGGTGTATAAAAGTAGAAAAAAGAAAATGAAATTTATCCTTGAGGTATATTGCTGCAGTTTCTAGAAGAGAACATTTCATCTTTTGTGAGAATTGCCTGCTATTACAAAAATGACATATCAGCAGGCATTAAAATTAAATTTTTCGTTTAATACTCAAGCTATCTCTAAAAAACTGTTTCATCTTGCACATGTTATAGAAACCCATACCTAGACATTTCACGTAACTTTACACCAACATATTTTGACTTTAATGATGCTTTCTTCTTGCCAAAAAGGTAGTGTTTCTTAATTTCATAAATCATAATTAAAAAATAACAGGACTCAATGGAAGATATTCGGCTGGATGACTTTAATGCCATTTGAGATGCTTCGGTTCCCATCTTTGTTCTCTAACCCTAATTGATGTCAGTTCAGGTTGAATGAAATTGCACATCAAAGATTTGGAATTCTGAGCCATTTTAAAGGTTATGCAAAATGCTCCTAGCTGCCTACTGCTGAGGCAGTTAGCCTGAGCTGGCTAGCCAGCAGCCCACCCTCACCTGGGGTTCTCACCTGCTGGTGCTGCATCTGGACAGACTGCAGTGGGCGTAAGAGCCTGTGGGTCAGGGGTTCATGCGGAAAAGTCTAAAGACCAAATACCCAGGAGCTTCCTTACTGGAACTTGGGACTAAAATCATTCTCTTACCCAGTTTAAAAGATAGGAAATAAAACCCCAAAATGCAAGTCGCTGTTTCATTTTTCCCAGGCAGTGACGAATAAGCCCTCAGTGGCTTTTCCCATTTGCTGGAGCTGTGGAGTGCCTTGCTCTAGGATTTGACTTTTGATGGGAAAAGTTGCTTTTGGCAGATAGAGTTAGTCCAGCATGGCCTACAAGTTGCCCAGAAGCTGCTTTGGTGAATGCTAAGTGACACATAGTAAATATAGGAGAAAACTTTTCTGATAAGGATAAGAAACTGTCAGGAGTCAAAGAGGTGGGCGGGAACTGGAGTTCAGCTGGTGATAGCAAAAGATGAAAGATCTTCTGAGGATGCTGGAGGATTAATACTTGAACCACTTCTGTGAAATGCACTCTGCACTCACCTCGCTAATAGCGATATATATATATATATATATATATATATATATTTTTTTTTTCCAAGCACCTTTTCCAGGCTGCCTGCACCAGGCTGCTTTGCATGTTGATTGGGGGAGGGGTAATCCCGTTTGCAGCTGTCATAGGCCAGTGATGAATCACTATCCCGTCATTTGGCTGCCTTCCCCCCCTGACAGGGGGAGGAGAAGGGTAGACCTGCAGGAGGAAACAACAGTGGAGACCTCAACTTAAAGACAATATGCCTTTCACTGCTGCAGTATTCTCCTTTTTCTATTTTGGTTAAAAGAGAGCATTGTTGTTCTCAGCCATGTGCTCTGTATAATTAAGAGCTGACGCTGAACCAGAGTAACAACAGCTTCTAATTTTTCACCCCTGATCACAGGTGCAAACATCTCCAACCCGTTCAGATGTTGCTGTTTCCTCAGGTTGCAGGTAAGGATATTGTTGATATTTGACATTTTGGGAGATTACCTTTCTGTGACCCATATCTATTTTTGTCTAGTATTTCTTAATTATTTCTATTAATAGCAGCCACCTCGGATGGAAATTACTTAACAATGTGTGTGTTCGCTTGTTATTTTTTTTTAAATATATACAAAGGGAATAGGAATCTGGGATTGAAAATGATTGTGGGCTATCAATCGTCTGTGGGGTTGAGAAAAACTGGATGTAAGAGAAGAATTAGGAGAGGAAAATTGTATTTTAAATCAGTTTGGGGGTTGAATTTAGAAGATTGGGGAAGAGAAAACGCACTTTAGAAGTAAAATGATTTATGTAAGCCACTAAATATATATAGAAATATAGCTAATAACATGTAACCTAATGTTAAAATAACTGTAGCTTTAATTTTCCTGGTTGGGTGAGGAGCAGACAACCCTCGCTTCTTCTATAAGCATTTACACCCCATCTCCTTTTTCTTCTAAAAAAAAAGAAAAACACATGCAGTTTAAAATAAAATGAATGAATGTTAGACTTTCAAAAACTTGGCTGCCAGAAAATAGAGTGGTAGCTGGGTGTTTTAGACTTTTTACGTAAATGCTTTTTTTTCTTCATCAACAGCATCTTAAAAATAAGTGGAAAGTTTCTAAACTGTGAATATTAGTGGGGGTGGCTTCTGGACCTTTTAGAGATCAAGTAACTTAACTGATGAGCCTAAAAATATTAATACTTTTTCATATGTTAAAAATGCAAAGTTATGGCACTGACTTAAAATTGTTCTATTTTTCCTGAGGAAGTGACAGCTGAGGTATTCTGAGCACTAATGCTCCTAGAGACTCACTGTATGTTGGCCTTATCCCTTTTCAATTGGGCACGCTGTATGTAATCCACAAAGCAAACAAGTGAGCCGATATCATAATGTTTTAATGCTGCATTTGTTTCAAGGGAAACAGAGGAACAATTAAGCAGTTTGCCAGAGTAAACACATGCATCAGGACTATCTCATTCCCTGTCACTAGACTATAGGCTTCAAGTGTTTTATTTGGTTTGGAGACCCATTAAATTACAATTGGGTGGTAAATTATAAGGGAGTACCCAAGTGTGTATTTGTTAGATGAAACTGATTCCATAGGAAATTAAAATCATTTTTTTCTCTTCTACCTGTTTACACGTTTTTCTGTTAGAAGGATGCCTTTGATTCTTTCCATTTAAAGAGCATATGAATGTATTTTCTTTTACTTTGAAAAATTAAAATAGGTGTAATTGTCTCATTAGAACTTGCGTCTGAATGAGATACTTAAAAGGGAGGAAAAGATTTTTTTCAACTCCATGACTATGTTTGACGGGATAGGTAAGGCAAGAGCATCTTTTAATAGTACATGTTATGAAAGGATGACTGAAATTAAAATACAAGATGAACTATTTGGAATCTAAGAAAATAGATACAATGGGACTTTTGTGTGAATGGGTTTCAAAGAAGGTGTCAAGTCGTTAGCGCATTAAATAGTGGTGTTATGAATTTGGTACATCTGTCAAACGGAAGACTTCTTGTCTTTAGGTCTATGGAAATGCAGGATCTAACCAGCCCGCATAGCCGTCTGAGTGGTAGTAGCGAATCCCCCAGTGGTCCCAAACTCGATAACTCTCATATAAATAGTAATTCCATGACTCCCAATGGCACCGAAGGTGAGTGTCTGCCTTCTCACTGTTTACTTTGCACATTGTTTCTTCATCAGTATATGCTTTCTTATTAGGTGATTATGATTTCAATAGTCAAATCCATGAAACTTTTGTTATGAAACTTTCCCCTTTGGTAATTCAGGTTTTGAAATAATGGTCCATACCACTCGTTAGGAGCTATACATGCCTTTAGTAGACTAGTTTTATGTAAGCTTTTGACAAATGCATGTACATATCTTTTTTAACTTTTGAGTGTATTGTATCTTTGCAGCACAGTGTCAGTTTGCAATTTTTGCAACATGAGCAATCAAAGTTTGGAATTACTTCCTTTAATTTTTCCCCTTTTATAACTAAGTAGAATCAGTTTCTTTAAAGGTACCCTTGAACTTCATTGTTTGTAAATATCAATACAATAATTGTGGACTCGGTCACTGAAATACAAATATGTTAACAAAAACTGATTCTTTACAAATACACAATCTTGCTTGAAAGATGGTAGAAATGTATTTATATTTGTAAAGATTAAACAGTATACTTGAAGCATGTGGTTTTATAGTTACTTTAACACATATGAATAGCAATGAAATTTTTATATAAATCAAATACCTATTTAATCTATATATGCCTAAGTCTAAATATATAAACAAGGCTACTGTATATATTAACTCTTATGAAAATTTGTGTTGTCACTGTGCATGTTTTTAAACTCTTAACATAAAGAATATGTTATATTTTATTTGTATTGATTTTACTTTAGCATTGAAAACATTACTTTTTCTTAGGTGATATCTTGCCTGTTTATCCCTTATTATGCCTTTGAATCTTGATTCATTAGAAATCCGTGAATTATCCATGTCAGAATGTCATCCATATAAAAAAATAACATAACTTTAGTTTCCTTGTCACCATGGTGATCCATTATTACAGTTCTTAAAAATAACTAGATGACAGAAAATTGTTTGATACAGCATTTGGTGCAATATATTTGAAACTGGCAGTATTAATAAATTTATGATAATAGAAAAATATGTGAAATCAGTTGCTTCTACTATGAGGAATCTTAATTTGTATACTAACAGTGATTAAGTTGGTCTGTAGTTAGTATTTACCTTTTCTGCCTAAGTACATAGATTGTCAGGGTTTTTGGAAGCTAAACACTTTCAAAAGTAGAAACTTGGCTGATCTGGCACATGCACCAAAATCTCTGAATAGGTACCTTTTCTTCTAAATTTTTTTTTTCTCACCACTCCAATAGCCAATCAGAGAGACATTTAAGAAGCAATTCTAGCATTTAAGTAGATTTTATACAGCAGATCAAAACAAGCAGCTCCTATATTTTCTCCTGTGGTGTTTGACTTCAAGTATAAGCATGGCTGCTGCCAGGGAGGCCGTCTTGGTCACACCAAGGGCTGCACATCCCCAGGTCAATATCAGCTTGCAGGGCTGCCACTGAGATAGTGATAAAGGGAGGCATCAGTATTGACCTGGAGCACTCATTCTCATCACTGTAATGCTTAAATAAGACAGAAATAGGACTATGTTCAATTGTTTATGCTCATGCATTTTGTTAAGTATGAAGGAATGATAACTTCTATAGGAAGAAATGAGGTAGGGGTAAGTTGTTTTCATTTGGCCATGATTATACAGGTACATTTTCTCCTAACAGTATTGAAACTGTCTGCATTGAGGATAGCACCCCTAGGGAATATGTGGTTTGCTTTTAAAGGGTATATGTGATGATTACATATTTCTGAATATTTACATTTAATAGCCTGATAACCCCATTTGTGTTCAGAAATGTAAACTTTTGCATAATTCAGTTCAAAATGCTATAAAATTTTACACTATTTTAGATAGTTGTGTATTATGTTGAACAGTTCAATCTAGGAAATACCTAGAAATTGCTTTTTTTTCTGAAAGAAGAACTATCTTAAATCTTGGAAATTAAAGTTTTGGACTTTTGAATTAGTAATCTGTTTTTAGTCATTATTCATTGGGGTTTATTACAAGGATTGTGATGGTTAGAAAGCAAAGTTAGTAAGTTGTAAGAATCATCCAAAGAATAAAAAAAAATTTAAATTTCCTGAGATACTTAGTTTTACACTATGATACAATTGAAATGTATGAACTTACAGGTTGACTTAAAATTCAAAGAACTCAAAAAACAAGTTTTGTTTCCTGTGGCCTCCAATTTTTTTCATCAAGTTACATGCCAATTTAGGTACAAACAATAACGTCAAGTTCTAGATTCTTACTATGTTTGTGAATTAATTCATCAAGCTACTTGTATGTTCCATAATGCATCTGTTTCATTCCTCTCAGTCACCACTAGAGGAGAGAAGCTTAAAATTAGTGATCTGGCAAACTTCCCTAGACTATAATTATAGATTTTCCTATACCTTTATTGAAATGTTAATTTGTTTTGAAGTCGGCAGTGTTTACCAATGAATTAGAGAAATGAAAAATCAGAAATTCATTAAAATTTAGAAGTGTTTAAAATACCAATCACTTCTCCTAATTCCATAGCAGATATTTCTGGCTCTTTATGCCATGGCTTATGTTCAAATGATTTCACTGCAGCACATGAAACTAGGCTCCTTAATTTGGACAACAAAACCTCCATTTAAGTGACACCCTCAATGGGTTCCTTGGCATTTATTTAGGGTTTCTTCTCTGAGCCATTTTCTGTACTTCTCACCACCACTTGTCCCTATAATAAGGCTTAAAAAAAAAAGCGAAAATTTCCTGCATCAAATGCCATAACTTCATCTCCAGAACAGACAAGAAGGGAGAGGAATGGAGAGGCAGAGAATATTAGGTTTCTTCTTACGTCTGCTGCCAAATTATCGTAAGACTCAGTGTTTGTAGGTTCCGTGCTCACAGACTAGTGCCTATTTTCATGGTTCATCTGGGGGATAAAGACAGAGAGACACTGAACTGCAACCTCAAATACTGGGCTTTTATATTTTCTGATGAAATGTTCTTCAGTCAGAATACTTGTTTGAATGTTTCATCTTTCAAAATTTCAGCTGTACACATTTTTATGTTATTCCAAACTCTCCCAGAATGATTATTGTTGCAGTTCTCTGTTGGTTTTGCCCAACTTGTAAACCTTCCAAACATAAAACATAAGTAAGAATATAAAATAGGATCAATGAATGCTTGACTTGAATTGAGAGAAGCTCTATTGAAGTGATAGTCTTTCAGGACTGGATGAAATGGAAGTTATTTTGATTGTTAAAGCGTTAGTTTCTAGGAAAGAGTTTATTGGGGGTGAGGGTTGGAGGGTGGGGGTATTTGATGTTCCTATACTGTTAAAGCACCTAATTTGAGAGTATTTGTAGTGTCTGGGTATGTGTTCAAGGCTCTCTTTGGTAGAAGCTGTGTGTTGATGTTTGTGTAAGTGTAAGAAGTAGTTGAGAAATGTTTCTTCAGAAGGACTCAGGGCTGTAGCAGTAAAAGGATTTTTATTTGCGTACCCAATTAAGGCTTTGTTTGCAAAGCAGTGATTCTTTCCATCCTTGTTGTCTCTAGTTGTCTTAAGTCCATGGGAGCGGAAGATTGGTCAGTTTCATATATTGCTAGCTTGAGTGTTTATTTTTGGTTTTGTGGGGGTAAAGAAAGGGGAAGGGCAGAAAAGAGCTATCAGCAAGCTTTAATTTAGTTTTCTCTATTGTAAATTTAGACTCAAACACAAGAAGCTTAAACTTGCTTAAAAGCAGATGAATTTGTCTTTAAGTGACAGAAAACCATATGCTATTGGACTCTTCACTCCAAGCAGTTTCAGGAATTCTGATGGTAATGCAAATAGTAATTTTGAATTGGTATATCAGATTTCCAGGATGATAACAGATAAAATCTTGACATTAGGTGAATAAATTTTCTGCATTTTAAAATGTATTAAATTGTATATTGAATAGTTTAAATGATAGGTTAATTCAGTTTTACAAATTGTTTTACAAATATCATCAGAAACAGTTTTCAAGTTTCAGGATTTCTACAGCGCCTAGAACACTTAACAAATTAACTGAATTTGTTTTTCTCACTATAATTTTAATGTAGTAAAATTCAATTATATCCAACTAGAGTATGTTTAAGAACTCTTATTTGTGAGAAATATGTAAAAAAAGGAGTAAATGTGTATAAAATTACGGTTTGAGGCTGCATTTACAGGCTATGTTTATGTATTTGTGGTCAAATATTCTGTTGTCAGTAGAAACATGGTAATCTAATTTTATTGTTGCTTACATTCTGTACATAATTTAGTTTCTGGACGATTAAGGGCATTGTAAGTAAAAGGTTCTAAATGACATTTTCAGACTATGTGGCCACAGACCTGGCCTCTTAACTAATTGTTCTTAAGTAAAAGCTATGAAAGGATGAAAAGAATAATTTTTAAAATATTAAATATTTGCATATATTATGTCTAAGGATAATTTTCCATTCCTGTCGCTAATGAATGGCAATTGCTAATGTTTACAAATAACTTGTTAGTCCTCTGCTGACCCTTTTACATGATTTGCTTTATTAATCTTAAGAAAATTTCTACAATATTTCCTACATTTGGTTCAGAAACTAGGTTTGAATGTTTGCTACAATATTTACTGGTTGGGTGAGGGCAGGTGAATTAGTTTATCTATAATTGTTTCCTCATCTGCACATTGGAAATAATAGCAGAACTTTGAATAGGCACGCTGTGTGGATGATAATACTTGTAGCAGTCTGGGAACATGTCAAGTGCTCTATCTATGAATATCTAGACCATCTGTAATTAAAAGTCACTCTGTAGCACTATTGCTATTTTATGTTCAAGGAAGCTGGACCTTAGTAAGTTAAATAACCAGTTTAAAGGCATATGGTTTGTAATTGTTAACACTCATGTCTGTCTATCCCCATGTTTAAATCACATTTTCTGAGACCAGAGGCTGTGTTTTCAAAGCACTGTAGTCGTCTACAGAGAAATGTGATTGCCACCGTCTGCCGTTGCCTTTTTGTCATACATTCAT